GGTGGGGGCTGGGCGGCAGAATGAGAAACTCCTGAGAAGGAATCCCCTTGACTCAGAAATGCTGGGAGTGGGGCGCCTGTATTAGTGGCTGTATCCATATGGAATGGACCTTTCTCTTGCTGAGCTGGGCGGGGACAGGGAGGCAGCGGGTCTGGGTCCAAATACCACAGACCCTCTTATTTCTCACTGGGTGCTGCAGATTGGATTGGGTCCCCGGGGGGGGGGTGTGAGGCCTTGTTGGAAGAAGGCAGGTCCCTACTTCCAGGAAGACCTGTGTCCCCTTAAGAAGAGGGAAAGACACACAGCCTGAGCGACGGACACATGGCCGAGACCGTAACCCTGACTCCACACACCTGGGCTGCCTGGGCGGCCAAGGGCAAGGCGTGTAGCAGAGCCCTCCTCAGAAGCTTCCCGAAGGAACCAACTTTGCTGATTCCAGGGCTTCTGGCCCCGGGGCAGCGAGAGCGCGGATCTGGTTGGCGGTCATCTCTTACGGTGGGCCCCAGGAGTCCCGTTTCCGCGGACTAGCTTGTTCTGTTCTCTTCGCTTGTTTAGTGGACTGTCCTGACCCCCTGTGCCGCTACTCTCCCTGTGCCCCTGGTCCTTTCCAGACGCTGCAAGAAGTTGTGAGCCGCTCTGTGAGCTCACACGCCATCATGCTGGAAGGGGAACGCGGACGTTTCTGGAAACCTCATGGGCTCCTCCCTTGCTCTCTGCTGGGCCTCAGAGGGGCAGACCGGGGAACATTCCTTTATTTAATCATCATCGCATCGCTTCGTATTTAAGAGTACTGTGTAACATTCTAATGATCTAGGGAACTGCTCATTGAAGCCAAGCGATTTGCTGCCTGTTCTGGGAGCCTGAGCTTCAGTGACTGAATCAGCGTTTGGCTGGTCAGTACCATCAGCGTCCACAGGAGCAGATAAACACCAAGTCCGTGGACAACACTGTGCTGGGGCTCAGGGGGCCGGGAGAGAGAGTCGGCGTTGAGGGTCGATTCTGGCTTTGGCATTTACTGACAGCCACCACTGCCATCTCCACTTAACCCCCCCAAGACTCGGACAGAGGTGGCGACAACAGTGCCAACCAACACAGCCTGAGTTCAAACCCCAGTCCTACCGCTCAGCAAGTGTATGACCTCAGATGAGTGATTATTCCTTTTGTGCCCTGAGTTTTTTCCTGTCATAGCAGGATCTAGCTGCTGGGCCTTTGTGAGACCCGATAGGGTTGTTCTGAGCAGACGTGTGACTAGTTCATACAACGAGGTCAAGGCGAGTGGAAGCTGAAGGCGGTTAAAAATCAAACTCACTGCCACGGACACATTCTGACGCAGAGAGAGTGGACAGAACAGGGGAGAACGGCCCTCATGGGTGTCTGACACTGTAACTCCGTGAGAGCAGTTAGCCATGTTTTTCTCCTGAGGAGCGGCTGGTGGTTTCGAACTGCTGACCTCATGGTCTAGCAGCCCAACACGCAACCACTATGTCACCAAGGTGAAATGTACGGCAGATTACCAGCGACGTTAACATCTGTGAAACCTGGAATCATAAACACCTTACGATCGCGGCCAGCATGCTGTCCTCATTGCAACATTTCTAACACTAGGATGCCCCTTACCCTGGCCAGTATCTTAAAGTGCCCACACTGAGCCCCGAGCCTGATCCGGATGGCACTCAGCCCTTACGGAGTAAGAGAAATGGCTTCCATTCCTCCAATTCTCCCAACTCCCTGGCTTCCGGAAACGAACGCTCTTTCTTTCCAAACAGAGCTTCTCAAATGTCTAAACACACAGCCTCTTGCCGAAATGCTCCCCTCCCTGTGAGTTTTAAGTTACCACAACTCAGGAAGCAAAAGTAGGAAAGCTAAGAGACACCCAACACCCGCAGTAAAAGTGACGCCTCTTACAATGAGAGGATTGTTACTAACCTCAAGGAAACCATGCTGCCGAATAAAGGGTGGAATGTCTGCTCACCGTTCAAAGGACTGTGCAAATAGTGCGAATGCTGCTTAGGAGTGAGCGCCCCTTGTTGGTATTGCACTGTTACACACACGTGGGCAGAGGGCAGAGCCCACAGCAGCCCTGATGTCTTTGGAAATCTGATCACAGTCACTCCTCATTTGCCCCGTCTAAGGCACTGGCACAGCGGGCTCAGCAGGACCGGGCAGTGTTTCGCTCTGTTGCACTCAGGGTCACTGAGTCGGCGCCCACTTGACGGCCGGGAGCAACAGCAACAAGGGAGACACGACAGATTGCTACTCAGGGACAGTTATGGACGAATGAGGCTTTTGCTCTTAAAACATAAAACTTCCTACCGTCGCCGTCTTAAATAGGACTCTTGAAAGCACACACTTCTCCGGTTTGTTGTGGGGGTGGTATCTGGGTGCCAGCTGCTGTTTGTCTAGAACGCTCTTGAGATAGACAGAGAGATCTCACTCACTGCCAACTCACAGGGCCCCTGTAGGACAGGCCAGAAAGGCCCCTGTGGGTTTCGGAGACTGTCACTCCTCACAGGAGTAGAAAGTTCCCTCTTTCTCCCACTGAGTGGCTGGTGGTTTCAAACTGCTGACCTGGGGGATCGCAGCGCATCGCGTGATCACTGCACCACCAGCGCTCCATATGCATACATAGATTCAGTCTCATCGCCCACACTCTGCTGTGGCTGGAGGGCTAGGGTCTAGAAGCCCCCTTTCTATCTACCGGTTCTGGTTTTGATCAGTCTTTGACAAAGAAACCAAAGAACTACGTTTGTCAGAACTGGAGCTAACATGAGATGGAACCGGTTCCTGAGTACGGCGCTTACCTACAAACACAGCGCACACGGGTCGCGAGTTACAAGTAACACCACACAGTCCCAGAGAGACGGTCATCTCCTGTTTCCCCAGGGAGAAGATGCGGGATTTTTTTGGCCTACTTTATATGCATCAACTTCCGTGGACGTTGAAAACTTGTCTTCTTAAGACCTTTTGTTTTATTAGCAAGTCACTGAGACCTACTTCAAATCACGTATAAAGTATGCATACGTTAATTTTGAGATCAAGGGCCTTCCCTACTGCCCCACCTCAGAAAGAATGATGTTATTTGGCCCCTTCGAAGGATGTGCAGTGCCGGCGACGTGCGCCCGACTAGCTCCCCACAGGACGAGTGCCCCCTCGGCTTGGCCTGAATTGTGGGAGACACAGCGGCCCTGGTGAACAATCTGTGAAGAAGCTGTCCCCACACTCTGTCCAAAGTCACCCACTGGGAATCACTCGCCTGGCCTCGGGGCGGGTGACTGATAGATGGCAGGTTCTCGGCCATCTTTAAACTGTGATGCGTCAGGGTTGGCTTTTTCAGAGACCCACAAAGGCTCCCTTGCCTGATGTGTGACACTTGCAACCACAGGTTGGGGGCCCCCGAGCCAGCGTCCCCACCTCTGTGCTGGGTCACCCAGGCCACCTCTACGCTCAGCCCACAGCAGTTCTGATGAGGCTGTTTCAGGCAAACATGCTCTGTTGTTCAAAATCAATCAAGGAACGAGGCAAGAGCTCCCAAGGGTATCGGGAGTCAGCAAGAGGGTGTGCCCTCTCTCAAGGAATGTCGGGGAATTTGGAGGTGCAGAAGAGCCTGGTGAACCCAGCAGAACCCAGGAGGGGCGTGGTCCTCAGGTGGACGGGGCAGGGTGTTTACAGTGAGGGAGGTACCCTGTAATGGCAGGTGCCATTCACGCCGTCCTTAGGACCACACTCAGCCGTTTCTCACCCAAATCTCCCTTCTGTAGCCACCTCAGCCACTCATACCTACTGCATAGCTGCCCTCAGCAACCCCCTGACCCTCAGTGCCCACCTTCATCAACTCCTTACCCTGAGCACCCCGCTCTGACCCTCCCACCCAGGGCTGCCCTCCAGAGCCCTCTCAGCTTCTTGTGCCCCCACACAGCCTCCTTCAGCACCTCCCTCTGACCTTGACACCCATGGCATGGCCTGAGCACCCCTTCTGACCCTCATACTCATGGAGGCCCTCAGTGCCCACCTCAGTCAGTTCCTCACACCCACAGCCATGGCTTCCTCTGACCCTGACACCCATGGCCGCCCTAGTGGCCCCCCTGCCCCCACCAACTGCCTGAGGGCCTGTGCCTCCACTTCTCTTCGGTAGCTTTGCTCTGACCAGACGGGGCTTCCAGAAAGCCCCTCCTCCTAGTGACGCTGTGGGGAGCCACTCAGCCGTAGGTAACTCCCAGAAGTGTGTCACTACCAGCCCAGGGGCACAGAGAAGTCTGAGAACGAAGAAGAGCCTCTGTGAAGGGCAAGCATTGCAAAAGGGTTTTCAGCTAGCTGCCAAGTGATTGACGTACCTCGAATGAGCTCATAAATATTCATGTCCATAAGTTCACACACGAGCGCAAGAGAACCGGAATGCCTGTCGCTGAAGAAGAAGGCAGGTTTCAACATGGTTCCCGTCGCAGTCAGACTTGCACCCAGACAGCCAGCCCCTCCCTAAACATTTTGGGTAAAGAGAAGCCCCCCACCACCCCCACCCACCTCAGTGGCATGAGTGAAGCTGTCTTTGTATTGAAGTCAGCATTTAAGGTCGACTCACTTGAAATAATAGTAAAGCCCTGCTGCAAGCAAACGTGCTGACAGCTACTGCTGCTGCTCCGCTTTACAGACACGCGTCTTTCAAGAGACACAGCTATCCACGGAACGAAGAAATGAGGCTGAACACAACCTTTCGTTCGTGCTCTGAGGCGGCACCTTTTGGTTTTTCAATTTACCTAAATGACTGGCGTGTGATTTAGGATGACTATGAGTGTGTGTGTGTGTGTGTGTGTGTGTGTGTGTGTGTGTAAAAGATGAAAAACCGATTGATGGGGGTGGGGGGAGAGGGGGTGGAAGCCCCTGTTCACAGAGTGCTGCCTGAGCCCCATACTCTAGGGCTTCCCCAGCACCCCAGCTGCTCCCGCCTTGAAGGAGTCTTGGAGGAGGGGACCTGAGCAGGGGAGCCCATGTCTCCCCATGTCTCCCATGTCTCCCCATGTCTCCCCATGTCTCCCATGTCTCCCCATGTCTCCCCATGTCTCCCCTGTCCTGGAGCCTTCTAGAGCCTCGGGGTCCTGCTGTGCTTTGGGGCTGTTAGGAGGTCCCCTGAGACCAGAGGACATCCTCCTCACTGTACAAGCTGCGGCTCTGCCTCCCCTGGCCCAGACTGAGGGGAAATGGAAAGTCGGGCTCTCTCAGAGCAAATATTTAGCAGGCTGCCCCTGGTTTCCTGCTTTAGGAAGAGACACCATCGTCCTCCTCAGAGGCGGATGGGTTTCCAGGCCCTGAGAAATACTTACAAATAACTTACAAACTAACGACTTACAAGATAACTTCGTGCAGCGGAAGGATATTTGGATGCGGATTCAGGCGCCTCAGGGCTTGGATTTCTCGCAGGTTGTTCACTTGCTCAATACTGTTTTGTAGTGAGAAATAAATAACGAATGTACCCATTAGCGCAACTTTGGGATTAGGGTTATCAAATTATAGCCATGTTTGGGCTATGATGGCATACACTATTACTGAAGACCACCACCTACTGGACATTTCCAGTGCACCCACACCTTGGTGGCTGCTGTGATCCTCAGGGGCACCTGGTAAGGAGGAGCCGTTGTTCAGGTGGATGGGCACTTTCAACCCCGCCAGCACACCCACCGACACCAGGTTGTCCAGGAGTTACACAGGGGGACTTCTCCAGATGCATTAAGCATCTCCCTCAAAGGGCTGCCACCCAGGATCCTTTACTGAACAGTTTCCTGTTGTGTGCTCTGGAAATTGCTGCTTGAGGTTAGCAGCTCAATGCATAACCACTGTGCCACCAGGGCAGCAGCCCCAGGGCCCCACACGTCTGAGGCTCTCTGTGCAGCATGCAGCCCCATAGGCTTTGCTTTGTCTATCTCTTGTCTCTTGACCAAACAACAGGTGATGGTCCTCCCAAGGTCTCTCAGTGCATCTTCCCCTGACCTGTTCAGCAGGTGCTGGATGAGGATTCTGGGCCCCTCTCGAAGGGGTAGAGGCATTGCCCCCTGCTGCTCCCAGTCCTATCCTGGCTACTTGGGATTTTGTGGTGGGCTTGTCAGAGGTGGGGGCTTGGGGGGGGGTGTTGTTCTTTGATACAGGGTCCTCCGTACCCTGGGGCACCTGATTCTGTCATGATTCCTTTAAAGGGAAAAAGATAAAGAGAATGCAAACCGAACCGAGGCCAGAGGAATGGAGGAGGGGCCAGCAATCTCAGAGCCGCTGAGTCCGATGCTCTGGGTGGTCAAGACATTGGGATTCAAACTTGGCTCTGCCACCGACTGACCCAGAGTGACCTGGGTCAAGCCAGACCACGTCTCTGAGTTTCCATCTCCACAGGTGTCTCCTCAGAGCACCCAGCCCATGGAGACAAGGGGAACTTGCAGCTGGGTCTCCAGTGGGGCCACCACACTTGGACTTGATGAGCTCTTCTACCCTCGCTGTCTGATTGGAGAAACCGTTCTCATACTGAGTCTGAGATCAAGATCGACACCCCCCAAACCCTGGCTCCATGCACGTTAAGATGGAAGAATTTGGATGTTTTTTCACCTTTTGAATGGTGCAGGGTTTCTGTTCCTTTGATATTTGAAAAAACAAAAACAAAAAAAAACCCAACTTGGCTTTGTCCTTCTTGCTGAAAAGTTTAACAGCTACCACTGGGCCTGCTCATTACTTGGAGGGAATGCCAGGTCACAGCCGGTGCCTGGCTCATAAGCATGCAGGGTGTAAGGAGCAGACAAAGGGCCTCTTGAAGAGGCTGCTCTAGAGGAAAAGGCTGAGCCGCCCTCCAGGGCAGCCAGTGAGAGCCACCATCGGCCTCTCTGCCAGCAATGGCTAACCCCTCCAGAGAACCCAAGTTCTCCTGCCCTACCTACCTCCCTCCCTTCCTCCCTACTTCCCTCCCTCCCTCCCTCCCTATCTACCTACTTACCTACCTCCCTACCCATCT